TGTCCTCCTCTGTCCTCTCTGTCCTCCTCTGTCCTCTCTGTCCTCCTCTGTCCTCTCTGTCCTCAGAGTGGTGGCGAACAGCCGAATCCCACGGACGGGGAGCCGCCGCCTTCCTCCCTTCCTTCATCGGCTTCCCTCCGTTCTTCGCCCCCCACATCCAGCCCAACCACAGCACTGCTCCCGCTCCCATCAGGACCCCCGGCAAGAACGGCCACGACCCGCCTAAAGGTACCGAACCTCCCCGAAGATCCGTCTCTGTTCTCTGGGTCCTCTCTCTCCGTCAGAAGCCGGATTTAAAGGCTTCGGCTGCTGACTTCGGCTGCTGACTTCGGCTGCTGACTTGCTCCTCCTGTTAGCTCTCGCCTCCTAATCTCAGCTTTTAATTTGACTCTTGTAATTTATCTTTTATTCTGTAAACGACTCGTTCGGCTCAAACGTGAATGAATCAATATTTTTATTAAATTTCTGCCTCGGCTCCAGATGTTCGATCCGTCTCGAGGAGACTGATCCGAACCGTGACGGGTTTTTGTTTCCAGGGGTGAACGGCGCCGTCAACGGCAGCGGGGTCGCTCCTCCTGCTGCAGCTGCGCTGCTGGGGAGCTACTCCACCAGTCCGGCTCCAGGGTCAACGAAGACCACCGAAACCTCAGAACCGTTGAACAGGAGCAGCCCCCAGAACGACCCGGCAGAACCTGCAGAGAAGACCACTGTGAAGACTAAAGAGAAGGTGAGTCAGACCAGACTTGAGGAGACCAGACCGATAGAGACCGGACCTCTACAGACCAGACCTATAAAGACTGGACCTTTAGACCAGATCTATAGACTCTACCTATAGAGACCAGACTGATAGAGACTGGACTTTTAGACCAGACCTATAAAGACCAGACCAATAGAGACTGGACCTCTAAAGACCGGCCCTCTAAAGATTGGACCTATAGAGACTGGACCAACAGAGACTGGACCTCTAAAGACCAGCCCTCTTAAAACCGGACCAACAGAGACTGGACCTCTAAAGACTGGACCTATAGAGACTGGACCAACAGAGACTGGACCTCTAAAGACTGGCCCTCTAAAGACTGGACCTATAAAGACCAGACCAACAGAGACTGGACCTCTAAAGACCGGCCCTCTAAAGATTGGACCTATAGAGACTGGACCTATAAAGACCAGACCAACAGAGACTGGACCTCTAAAGACAGCCCTCTAAAGATTGGACCTATAGAGACTGGACCAACAGAGACTGGACCTATAGAGACCAGACCCCTATAGACCAGACCAACAGAGACTGGACCTCTAAAGACTGGCCCTCTAAAGATTGGACCTATAGAGACTGGACCAACAGAGACTGGACCTATAGAGACTGGACCAACAGAGAATGGACCTCTAAAGACTGGACCTATAAAGACTGGACTTATAAAGACTGGACATTCTTGTCTTTCTATTCCTGATAAATCCTTTCTTCATACTTTTCATATTAATTGTATTTTTTAATCTAGAAAACAAGAAAGAAAGTGGGCGGGGCTTCTTTAGCGAGCAACAGCGACTCAGGCACATCCTCGGACAGCTCCAGTGACGGGTCCATCAGCAGTGACCTGGAGGACCTGGCTGAGGACGATGAAGATGACGACGATGACGAGGACGACGAAGAGGAGGACAAACAGAGTGAACTGTCAGACTCTGAGAAACGAACAAAGAAGAAAACTAAGGTGAAGGAGAGCCGAATGACAGCTGAAGTTAGCTCGCTCGACAAAAGCTAAAGTACCACAAGGCTAGGRATTATAAAAAATTAGCTAAATTTAGTTAAAATTAACAAAAATCTAAATTTATATTTAAAAGTAGCAAAATTCCAGGTAATACAGTAGCTAAAACTGTTAAAGTGTAGCTCATAGCTAGAAGTAGCAGAAGGCTAGCTAAAAMTCAAAAGTACCACAACAGTTGCTAAAGCTAAAAGTAGTAAAACAATTGAACTTGTGTAGTATCAAAATACTAGATAAAAGGTACAAAACACAAGCTAATAGTTAAAAGTTAAAATTAGTAAGAGGGTAAATAAAAGCTAAAAGTAACAAAAGACTAAACACATTTCTAGGTAGCAAAATTCAAGTTAAAACTAGCTAGTTAGCCAAAGCTAAAAGAAGCAATATGCTAAATAGAACTATAAGTACCAAAACCAATGTTAACTCTTAAAGTAGGAAAATAAAACCTAAATTAGTAGAATAACTAGGTTAGCTAAAACTAAAAATATCAGATTCAGTGTGAAAGCTTAAAGTAGCAGTAGCTAAAAGTAGCTGAACAACAGCTAAAAGCAGCTAAAAAGCGAGGCAGCAGCTGAAGCTCATGTCTCTGATTTTTATTTCCTCTGCAGTTTTCAAGTCCCGGTTCTGGACCAGGAAAGACTGACCGACCCCTCCTGGACAGAAGAGACCCCCAAACCAAGAAACTGCCCTCCAACCCGCCGACCCTCGTGCCCCTCCCCTGCTCCATGTCCCCGCCCCTCCTGACCCAGACCTCGCCCCTGCAGAGCTCCCGGTCCTGGACCGAGGGTCCGCAGCAGCACTTCAGCGTGATCCAGTCCACAGGCCTGGCCGCCAACCCGAAGCCCCTGGCGCTCCTMGCCCAGCCCCGCAGGGAGTCCTCCCCCTCCTCCTCCCCCATCGCCCTCACCACGTCTCCCAGAGCCTTCTCTAGCTCCGCCTCCCCGAAACCTCCCAAACTGCTGCCCTCCTCCTCCCCGCAGCACCTGCCCTTGTCCCTCTGCTCCTCGCCGAAGCCCCTCTCCGTCCCCTCCCCGCCTCGCTCCTCCCTCCTGGCGTCTACCTCCCCGAAGCCGTTTGGACTGACCTCGTCGTTAACGAGCGCCCAGAAGGCCTCGCCGAAGCCACCAAAGCACGCRGCGCCCGGCGCCGCCAAATCCAACAAACGTAAGCTGCTGGAAGCGTCTCTGGCTCAGATCAACGAGTTCAGACTCAAACAGGTAACAGAAGCTTAATGTAAAAACACTAATGACTCAGCACTTAGCTCACTCTGAGCCYAAGAAGTAATTACAGCCGAATATTTAGCTTAAGTGAGCAAAGTTATCCCAGCTAACGGTCTGTAAGGAAATCATTCTCTGCAGCTGCGTTCAACCTGTAGCTGCAAAAGTTTCAGCTGTTTTCTCATCACAAAATAATGCTTTTATTATAAAACCACAGCTAAAAGCTAAAATTATCAAAATATTAACATCTAAGGATAGAAAACATTGGCTAAAAGCCAATAACATCTAAACTATAGTAGTAGCTAAACCTAAAATATGTACAACAGTAGCTAAAAGCTAATATTTGTACAACAGTAGCTAATACCTACAAACAGCAGCTAAAAGCTAAAATTATCAAAACATTAGCAAACATCTAAGGACAGAAAAACAGTGACTAAAAGCTAATAACAGCTAAACTATAGCAGATTTAGACCATTTAGATAMACCGTTATTGTCATTGTACAGAGCACAATGAAACTACAGTTCAGCCTAGTTCAGCTAGTAGTAGCCAATCCRAAAATATGTACAATAGTAGCTAAAAGCTAATATTTGTACAACAGTAGCTAGTACATATAAAGAGCAGCCAAAAGCTAAACTTTCAAAACAGTATAAAACCAGCAAAACCAGAGCTAAAAGCTAATATTATCAAAACATTAGCAAACATCTATGGACAGAAAAATTGTTGCTAAAAGCTAATATTTGTACAACAGTAGCTAGTACATATAAACAGCAGCTAAGAGCTAAATTAGCAAAACAGTAGTTAACACATAAAACCAGCAAAACCAGTGCTAAAAGCTAAAATTATCAAAATGACAGCAAATATTTAATGCCAGCAAAACAGTAGCTAAAAGCTAATAACAGCTGAACTATAGCTGTAGCCATATCTAAAATAAGTACAACAGTGGCTAAAAGCTCATTTTTGTACAATAGTAGCTAGTACCTATAAATGGCAGCAAAAAGCTAAATTAGCAAAACAGTAGTTAACAGATGAAACTTGTAAAACCGGAGCTAAAAGCTAAAATTAGCTCAACTAAATTAGTAGCCAAACCTAAAATAAGTACAACAGTAGCTAAAAGCTAATATTTGTAAAATAGTAACTTGTACTTAAAACAGCATCTAAAAGCTAGATTAGCAAAACAATATGACAGCTAAAACCAGAAAGACAGTACTTAACAGTTAAAACCAGCAAAACCTGTGCTAAAAGCTAAAATTAGCAAAACGTAACCTAAAAGCTATACAAAGCAAAACAGCAGCCGAAATCAAATAGCAGCTAAAAACGCCAATATTTGTACAATAGCTAATACCTAAAAACAACAGATAAAAGAAGAATTTAGCTAAACGATAAAAAAGCTAAAACTGTCTAAACAGCTAGCTAAAAGCCAAATTTTGCAAAGCAGTAGCTAAAAGATAAAACTACCAAAAATGTTGTCTTCAAACCTAAAATTAATACAAAACTAAGTAGATGAAATTACAAAACAGTAGCTAAAAGTTAAAATCAGCAAAACAATAGCTAAAATAAAAGTGCTTGTGATCAGTTTTAATTAAATGATGATTAATTATTTATTTAATTAATTGTTTTTGACACAGATCTGTTAGCAAATCTCAGTATTTGATACGAACCCGTCGATCTGATGTTATTTAGTAAAAATTGTTTCCTTTTTTTTTGTTTCGGCAGAAAAGAGAAGTTTACAAAGAGCTAAATTCCCCCTGTGGTTTCGGCTCCGTTACTGTTCTTCATYGTCTGTGAAATTGATTTGTTTCACTTCGAATCACATCAAGTTGAACGAACGGCGTTAAAGTCTGACCTCCCTCTGCTTAAAACTCAGCTGAAACAYACTTATTATTAAAAAAAAACGACCCGGGAGACGATAACGAGGCAGACGAGTGAGCACAGATTCAGACTGCGTRGCCTTTTATCAACTCCAACAAAAATAAAAGGGTTTTAGTCACCGTCAAAACGCTGAGTCAGCATTTCTTTTGTTTTTATTTTTATTTTTCCATTTGTGTTTTACAACCTACCTACTGGTGCAGCTATTTTAGCTGTTCATATATCAAACTGTTCGGCTCATTCAGCCGATAGGTGCTGTGATTTTAAAAAACCTTAATCCTGATTTTGTCTTCTACTTTATTTACTTTATCTTTTTAGCTACAGATTTTTCTTCTTTTATTTAATGTCTCTTTGCTAAACTTAGCTTTTAACTACTCTTTTAATAATTTAGCTTTTACCTAACCTTTTGCTGTTTCTCACTGCTCCAGCACTACTTTCACCTGTCAGTTAGCTTTTTGCTGCTATTACCTTTTAGCTTATTTTTTGCTATTATTAGTTATTTGCTAGATCTTTGCTGTTTTAGCCATTAACTACTCTTTTGTCAGTTTTGCCTTTAACTAGCTTTTTGCTACTTCTCGCTATCCTTCTGCTGGTTTTAGCTAACACTTTTTTTGCTTTCACATTTCAGTTAGCTTTTTGCTACTTTAACTTATAGCAAATGTTTTGCCACTTAATTTTTGACTAGCCTTTTGCTGCTTTTAGCTATGCTTTTGCTGATTCTAAATATTAGCTCATCATCTGCTGGTTTAGCTAACGCTTTTTCTGCTTTCACCTTTCCGTTAGCTTTTTCCACTTACTTTTTGACGATCCTTTTGCCGCTTTTAGCAATAATCAGTCTTCTTTCGCCTACAGCTCACATTTAGCTTCTTCAGTAAACATGTTGCTAATGACTTTCAGCTCCTATATTATCATGTTTCAGGTTGTTTCTGTAAAACCGAACATTGTTCTGGTCAGGTGATTGTGGCGGCCATCTTGAATGGTCTAAAAGTTAATCAGTTTTTCGGCCTCTCCCCTCAGACTCTCATGTCTCAGACGCTCCCAGCGGAYCCGAAGAAGCAGCAGCAGGGTGCAAACAAGTCGCCGAAGAGGACGTCGCTGTCCTCGCCGCCGCTGCCTCCGGCTCCGCCTCTTCCTCCCCAGAACAATCACTCCAACCTCTTCCTGTCGAGCGCTCTGCTGGGTCTCCCCGAACCCCACCACCCCAACGGGGTCATCCAAAGCACCACTCAGGACGCACCTTTGGCCCTCATCACCAAACCTCGCAAAGACTCCTCCTCCCGAGGCCGGTCCCCCCAGCCCAACCCGGACTCTGGGTCCATGCCAGTCAACCTGAGCACGGGGGCCAGCCGGACCCAGGCCGGTCCTCCTCCTCCGTCACAGCCTCCAACTACCTCACCCCCTGCCACGGGTCACGGATCCAGGAAGACCAAGACCCCCCGGAGTAAAGGGCAGACACCGGGCCTGGGCCAAGCGGACCCTTTAGCTGCCTGGAAGGGCTTCTCCCAGAACCACCTGGTCCAGTCTCTGGTGGAACTGTTTCGAGGAGGAGAGTCCGGCATCGGTCTTCCCGGGGTCAGCATCCCTGGAGTGGGCATTCCRGGGGTGGGAATCCCCGGAACATGTAACCCCACGGCTGCTCTCCCCGCCAACAAAGAATCTGACGACTCAGGAGAGGACGATGACGACGATGAGGACGACGACCTCGAGGAGGAAGATGAAGAGGACTCAGACGACAGCCTTTCAGGTGGGAAGTTTAAAATCTATTTTTTACTTTTATACATAAACTAAACGTAAATATTTACACCTGAAAACATTTAACTACTAAAACTGCAGTTTCTGTAACGGCTGAGCGCTGAAAGGTGCTGGAGCAAGCTACAAAAGAAGCAAAACACTAACTAAAAGCCAAGAAAGCTAAGCGGTTAGCATCTCGCTAACTCAAAATTGGTAAAATCGTTGCTAAAAGTAGCGAAAAACTAGCTAAAATCAAAAAAAAGTATATCTATCATTTCGTTAACTCAAAAGTAGCAAAATGCTAAATTAAGGTAGCAGAAAAATAACTATAAGCAAAATATCTAAACTGCTAGCATGTTGCTAACTCAAAAGTAGCATAAAACCTAATCTAAAATACGCAAAATGGCTATTACTGGCCAAAAGTAGCAAGATAGCAAAACACTAGGAAAAAGCCAAAAAAAGCTAAACTGCTAGCATCTCACTAACTCAAATTTGCAAAATCTTTGCTAAAAATAACAAAAATATGACTAAAAGAAAAGAAAAAAGGCTTAACTATCATCTCACCTACTCAAAAGTAACAAAATGCTAAATAAAGGTAGCAAACAAACTAGCTAAAGGAAAAACATCCAAACTGCTAGCATCTTGCTACAAGCGAAAAAGTAGTAAGATTGTTGCTATAAGTAGCAAAGCAGTAGCTAGTCAAAAACAGCAAAACACTAGCTTAAAGTAGCAATACATTATTTGCTACAAGTCCAAATTAGCAAAAGGCTAGCTAAAAGCTAAATACAGCAAAAAACTAGCTAAAGGCTAAACATAGCAACAGGCTATCTAAAAGATGAAGTGGCACAAGGTTAGCTAAGAACTAAAAGTAGCAGAAGTCTAGGTAAAAGTATCTATAGATTAGCTAAAATTGTAAAAAAGCTAGCTGAAAGCTAATATTAACAAAGTGGTGATTTTTATAAATGAGTCATGAACGGTGATCTCAGAGCATCTGTTGAAGATGACCCTCAGCTACTACTGCATCTGTAGAACGGAGTTTCAGCTGTTTTTTTTATTAAATCTTGACCCTAAAGTTTAATCCTTTATAAACACACAGATAACTTTATGAGTTGTAATAAAATCCTTTRGTTGTTTCATCTGTTGATATTTTGCTAACAGACAGACATGAACACAATCATCAGCTATAAAGATGCCAAAATGYAACCATCATTTAGAAAATAAAACAGCTCAGAATTCTCACTTTAGATCAATAAAAATCTGTTTGTTTTTATTTCATTCATCTAAAATCTTAAATTTCAGTAAAAAAAACCGACTCAAACTGATTCGTTTCACGTCTTTGTTCAGTAAATTAACGTCTTTTAAACTTTATTGTTTTGTTTTTTGTCTCGTTTCAGAGTCGGACAGTAACTCAGACAGCGACATCTCCGGGAAGAAGGCCAAGGACTCGAAGCTGCTGCCGTCCGGACCCTCCAAGAAGGACACYCCCCCCCACAGGCTGGCCAAGGGTCCGGAACTCCTCGACGCCTCAGCCAATCACAACGCCACCAGCTGCTCGCCGCTCAACCTGCAGGTCATCAAGAGTCCCTCCACCGCCACCAGCTCTAGTGCCTTGTCCTACCACAGCCCCGCAGGCTCCTCCTCCTACAGCCTGGCCTCGCCGTTAGGTGGGTCTGAGCCCGGGTCCAGCAGAGCCTGGTTCTGGATCAGGTCTTATTAACCAGCAACAAAACATTGTGATGACGAAATTAGGGTTTATTGAAGAAACACGTTTCGCCTTTAGCTACAATCAGCTGCTCGGTTAGCCGCGGCGGCCATCTTGAATGGGTGTGTTTTTGAGATTTTTGCATTTTTAGGCAAAACTGACCAAAAGTATCAAAATAAAACAACCACTTTGTGTTTTTACACAATAAAATACACTTTATTAAAGAAACTTTGAGTGTTTTGATGAGTAGATTTTTAAAGGAAACAAAACACTTTGAGCTGATTAAGTGTCAGATATTTCCAGGAGGGAACTCCGGGACAGTAAAAGAAGAAAAAAAATTGCCACAGTTGCAGTTTTTATTCCAGTAAAAGCATTTCAGTGAAAAAGAAAAGGTTAAGAATCAGTTTTATCTGACTGGAAGCTGTTGGCAAAACATTTCATCTCAGTTGGCTGAAATAATGCAGAAGCAGCAGCGCGTCCAGTTTGTCCACTTTCACCCTCGTCACAGAAAGAGAGAATACCGTAAGTGAAAGTGGCCATTTCCCTTCTCAAAGACGCAACTCAGCAATAAAATCCCTGTAATCCTGTAATCTTTATTTGACAGAAACGTGGAACGTTTGTCTGCGCAGCGTCAAAGCTACAGCCACAGGTTTTTATTCTCAGTGATTATTTAAACTTTTATAAAATGAGGCTAAATCTGATGCTGAGCTGTTAACGGGCCCAGCGGTTTCCCTGAATCACGAGTCGGCAGCTTCAGTCCACGCCCGTCCTCCTCAGCTGGGAGAGGGAAGGGTTTGTTCCGCTGGGCAGGAAGGAGGCGGTGTGTCGCCACGAGTCGACTGCAGGTCCTGCAGCAGCACGCCCAGGAGCCTGACGAGTCGTCTGGTCTCGGTGGCCAGGTTCACCGAGACCAGACCGGCTCAGAGGTGTTGCTCTGCCAGGAAGTGAAACATTTACCGTCACTCGCTCACTTCGCTTTTATTTGTTGCTTCTTTTTTTTTTAATTCTGCCTTGACACGATGAGGGATTTAGATCCTGTGCTTTAAGATAACAGCCAGAAGAGAAAACAAGTCAATGTTTCACAAGTCACATATCTGTCCTCTCGAGTCTCTGGTCCGATTCTTGCTTTGTCTAATAACACAACCTATTACAGGATTATTCAGCTCTGTCATAACATGCTGGTGTCGGTTTCCAGTTAACCAGGACACGACAGTCCTGTTTTTATTGTGTGGATGCTGAGTCAGCCTTTAATTTACTGTAGTCCTGRTTCTCTTGATTGTGTGACTAGTGTCAACATTCAAACTACGTATAGTGATCCTGTTTCTCATTATAGTGTCAATGCTGAGTCAGCATCCACATTATAGCGATCCTGTTGCTTTTTAATTGTGTCAATGCTGAGTCAGCATTTATACTGTAGTGGTCCTGTTTCTCATTATTGTGTCAATGCTGAGTCAGCATTTATACTGTAGTGATCCTGTATATTTTTATTGTGTAAATGCTGAGTCAGCATTCAAACTATAATCATCCCGTTTCTCTTTATTGTATGAATGCTGAGTCAGCATCTACACTAAAGCAATCCTGTTTTTCATTATTGTGTAAATGCTGAGTCAGCATTTATACTACATATAGTGATCCTGTTTCTCTTTACTGTGTGAATGCTGAGTCAGCATTTATACTATAGTGATCATGTTTCTCTTTATTGTAGGAATGCTGAGTCAGCATCTACACTAAAGCGATACTGTTTCTCATTGTGTAAAGGCTGAGTCGGCATTCCTACTARAGTGATCCTGTTTCTCATTATTGTATAAGTGCTGAGTCAGCATTGCATCAAAGGCCTCAAAACATGTCCTCTCTTAATTTTTGTTTTCTTGTGGCCTGCTTTCTCTCTGTCCTTTTTGTCTTCTCATGTCTTCCAGTGTGTCTTTATTGGTTTTTTTGTGTGTCCTCCTGGTTCATAATTTTTGTCTTTTTGCATCACTCTTTTGGTTATTTTGTCTTTTCTGCCTATAATCTCTTTCTGTGTCCATGTCGTCCTTTTGTCCGTCTGTTTGCCTCTTCCTTCTCTTTTGCACGCTCTGTCTGTTTTTCTTCATCAGGTATTTCAGGTTACTTTGGAAGTTTTATGCATCAGTTACGTTGTCCTTAAAGCTCCAGTTGTTATTAACCAGCTTCAGTTTGTTGTGGCTTCAGATTTCAGCAGAGGCAGGCAGCATTTCTTCTGCAGCAGACAGGTTTCTGTGTGGCTGACCTRTGAACCGTTTGTCTGCAGGTTTGGGGAAGAGGAAGAGGACGATGGATGAGAAGGAGTTGACGGCGCCTCTGGAGTTGGGGTACGTACTCAGAGCTGGAAGCGACTCACTCTGGATTTCCTGTGCGAGGTGTGAAAGTACACGCTGTTTGTGGTCTTTTTTTTTTTGTTGAACTCCCAGGTGGCGGAGAGAAACGAGGATCAAATCTGTGGCGGGACGGCCTCAGGGCGAGGTGGCCTACTACGCCCCCTGTGGCAAGAAGCTGAGGCAGTACCCCGATGTGATGAAGGTATCTGAGGCTTCATCAATAATACAGAAGCAAATGTTTGTGGGCAAACTGATGAGCGGTTTACTTTGTAACGAGAGCGGTGTTTTACTCCGGACTGCATGCTTCGTGATTTATGGCTGTTTTATTTTTAATAAATGCAAACTGCTCCTCCATCTTGCTCACAGGATTGCTTGTGTATCTGTTTATCAACTGTTCGCCTCTGCTTCAGCTGCCC